GGGAAGGGGGGAGGGGGGGGGGGGGGGGGGACTGGATGAAGGAAGGTGAAGGGATTAGCCAAAGAGCATATATGCATAATCCATATACACAGACAACAGTGTGGTGATGGCCAGAGGGAACGGGTTTGCGGGGGTGGCGGGGAGGCAGGCTGGGTGGAGGTGGGCAAAAGGGGGGAAATGGGGGACATCTGTAATACTGTCAACAATAAAAAGAAAGCTAACTTATTGGTGCCCCCAGAATGTAGAGCAGAGCTCTGTACTCAGGCATCTCTTAGCAAGGCCTGTTCACAAACTAGCAAAACTCTGCTGCCCTCTGTCCTCAGAAGAAAGGCTTGCTCTTTGTACTCTGACGCTGAATGTGACGTCTGTAATAGAAACTGAAACTACCTTTGTCTCTTGTTTGTGCATCAAGTTAAACGGAAAGCTCCTCATTAAACATGAACTCCAAACATCAAGAGCAAACAATTTTGGATGTTGGGGAATGGGAGCAGAAGTTTCAAGAACTGATGCAGGAGGTGAAACCCCGGCACAGATGGACCTTGAAGTTTGATGAGACTCTTCAGCCAGACTGTGTGGCCCAAGGCTGGAAGCAATACCAGCAGAAAGCATTTGGGAGGTAGGTGGGTGAGAGTTGGCTTGGCAGTGGGCTTCCCTAGGCAAGGAGGCTCCACTCAGCATTGATTGATGCCTTTGAGAGCTTGTTAAAAAAATAAATGTCATCAGGCTTCCCATCCTTTTGTGGTCACAGTGTTCTTTCGGACCTAAATAAGACTTCAAGCCTCCATTTTGCTTAACTCTGGGAAGTGTCTTCTTTTATTAGGTTTCCTCCCTAAATATTTCTGCAATTCCCTAAGGAATACTTCCATGTTCTATAAATCTGTCCTCCTATTCCCTCACCCCCTCATTTGTTCCAAACTTCCTCTATCCAGCACCTTCTGCACCTCCCCCATCAGTCCTGACTGGTTTCCCCAGGCTGCAGCTGCCCTGCTAGCTCCGTTCAGTACCAGCCTGGGACTGGGGCCTTCCGTTAAAGCCCCAAGAATTGATGAATGCCAGGCAATCACTTTGAATATTGCTTTGCTGAAAGTCTGAGGATAATAGACGGGAATGATGCTTCAAGAGAGACATCCAAATCCTAGTCCCTAGAGTCCCTAAGTAGAGCCTTTCTCTTACTGGCCATCTCCCTTTTTAACCTCCAGTGAGGCTCCAAGTTGCAGGAACCAACTTCCTTGCCCAGGTCAGGAAGGTGAGAATTGCTGACCTAGACATTTTTTTTTTTTTTTTTTTTTTTTTATGGTGCACAGGCACCTTCACTGTACTTTCCACCACACCCATTATCCTGCTTCCCTGCCTGCCCCTGCCCTGCCTCAGGTCTCCTCTGCTCCATCCTTAAGAATTATTAGCCATGCCATGCACTTTCAGACTTCCATTCCCTTGTCCATGATTTCTGCTTGTTTGGCAGGCTCTTTTCTTCTCCCCTCCCCCCGCCACTCCCCACCCATCTCTTTATTCATACTCAAGTGCTACTTCCTCCTTAAAACATTTCCTGGTCTTCCTAGGCAGAGCAAGGGTTCCTTCTCCATTCCCATATGATAATGTGTTTATATATATATATATAT